AGCTCTGGTGTCTTGTGGACCTGAGCAACGTCAGAGGCACTGGACACCTGCCTCCCCCTCCCTCCTGCTCACATCCAGACACAAGAACCCCTGCTACAGATCTAAAGCATTAGAGAGAAATGAGTCGGAATTGTTGATGATCTAAACAAGATGAAGACAAGCCAGCAGCCTTCTGTCGCTTACTGACCAACTGCCGTCAGACACCAAGGTCCCCATTTCACCAGGATATTAAACCCGATCCTTTCTTCAACCCTGTATGTGCTAGCTGGTTTTAGTTGAGGAAGCCAGAGATCAGGGAGGCTTACTAACTTGCCAGATTCCCAGCTAGAAGGGAGAGAGCTCTCATTTGTGCTCAGAGCAGCCTCTCAGTTCCCAGACACAGAGACGACAAGGTGCGGTGGGTGAGGAGAGCTGTCCAGTGTTTGGAGAGTCTGTAATGAATCAACTGCTTAGCACTAAACCAATACATAAGAACTGTCAGGAAGCAAACCTGTGTGATGGCTGTTTCACTTTTTCACTTTCTTTGGCCCATTCTATTAAGAAAGTACTTTTGAACTCATACCTGTAACTGTAGTAATACAGAGGCAAAAGCAGGATTGTGAGTTTGAGACCAGCCTAGTCTGCATGGGAAGACCCTGTCTCAACAACAAAAACAGAATACATTTGTACTTTATTTTGTACCAGTCAGCTGTAGCTTGCTCCCAATTAGATTACAATCTTCTGGGTCAACTGTAGCCTGTGTAGAAGGTCTGTAAGAATTTTTTAATGCTGAACCATGTAGCGGACTGTTATCAGTCATAGAGGCATACCAGTTCAGGGTGATGGCGTAGAATTCGGGTCCCCCCAGCTGAGTTTCCTCAGGTCTATGTACCTTTTGGCCAGTGCACCTTCTCCCATTTATAACTGTGCCTTGCCTACTGTCTTTCTCCAGGTGGAATGGAATCCTCATAGCTCTGTCTGGTCTTTGTTCTTAGCTGGGAACTATAGGCGTAGACTACGCTTGGGTCTCATTTAAGGCCACCATCCTCCTAGTACTTTTGTAATGGAGTCTTCGCCTTATCTTAGCCTTCCACCACACCAAGATGGCTAGGATGTGGGATTCAAAGGTGTCAGGCTCTTTGGTGGAAGAGGGAAGGCTGGGGGAGGCAGGGCACTTGTGTGTTTTTGAGCAGTTATCCACATAAAGGTATGTCTTCCATTTTAAAAGGAACCTTAATGAATAGCACACATAGAGCCCACTTTTCATAGTGATGCAGCCTCTAGACCAGAGGCCACAATAGCCAGTCCTCTCCCCTCTGCTGCTAGCCATTGCATTCAAAGACAGTAGGTCCTTGTTCCTGGAAATGTATATAAGTATAAAGTTTTCCTTTCCATAATATTAATGGAATGATTATAAATTCTAAAATTAACTTGAAAATATTACCTCACTCTCTGGAAAAAAATCTTTAAGCGACTTCAGCTGTTGGGAACAGGGCCACAAAGCTGAGGTGACGAATGAAAAGAACGGAAAATCAAGTACAAGGCAGTGACGCCGACTCCTGCACCTTCAACAGTGCTGCCGTGGTCCTCCTCCTGCACACACAGCACAGCAACCAAAAATGTCAGTGACATCTAGACAGCCCCAGACCCAGGGCAGCAGCATCATTGCTCAGCAAGGCACTCGGTGCCTGGCAGTGAGAGGAGATCTCAGGTGAGGGTGGGCCCACTCTCTGCTGCAGAGCAGTCTGCTCTCCTGGGCTGTCCCATGTGGAAGGACCAGGATGTAGGTAAGAGTGGTCAGATGTTCTCACATTTGTATGTTCTGTATATAAATGTTCAACACACGATAAGCAAGACAGTCGGGTGGACCGTAGAAAAGGAATAAACAAGCTTGAGTTTCATGTGTCCTCGCATGGTGTGAAAGTAAAGAGATCTTTGACAGTTGGGCCTAAAAATGGGTTTTGGGGTCAGGCAGTGGTGGGGCATGTCTTTAATCCCAGCTCTCAGGAGACAGAGAGAGCTGGATCTCTGAGTTTGAGGCCACCCTGGTCTACAAAGTGAGAGCCAGGACAGCCAGAACACAAAGAAACCCTGTTTTGGAAAAAACAAAAAAGGAGGGGGAGCTAGGAAGGTTGGTTCAAGCCCTATTGGATCAGAGCCACAAAACCTATGTGAAGTCTAATGAGTGGAAGAAGAGCGGCAGCACCCTCGTAGCACCCTCGTAGAGGAAATGGCCTGGGAGGACAGGACAAGAGCGGGCACATCAGCTCTTTGTCAGCATGGTTGCTCTCAACTGAAGATGCCTAAGATTGACCATGCGAGTTGAGTTGGTATGTGAACTCCTGTTTTAGAGACCTTGCAAAGCAAGTGAGACATAAAGTCTAGATATACATAGTTCTCTTGTATCTAGTATCAGGGACATAGTAATTTAGCAAGATACTATTAAATCAGGGAAGGGCTTTTGTTAACGCTAAAATGAGAACTCACTGAAGACTTGAGAGAAAAGGTGATATGTTATGAAAGTGTTTTGGAAAATTGACTAATGCATGTGCTCAGCAGATTAAAGAAGAAAGACTGGCTTCTGGGGTTAGAATTGAGTTATTTTGTTAATCTAGAGAGGGTGGTAAGAGTCTAGAGCTGGTCAAACTAGGTTAAAAGAACTCAGCATGAACCTCAAACATTATGCTGAATGAGAAACCACACACACGCACACACACACACATTGTATATGGTTCTGTTTCTATGAAATAGCTTTATAGGAACATTAGGTAGATTATCCGTTCTAGAACTTGGGAGAATAGAGTGAGAGGGTGATGGAGACTTAACCTCTACATGTGGAAGCGGTGGGGAGGGCTGTCTGTAGTGAAGTATACAACTCCATAAATAAACCAAGGCTTATATTTAAATAGATGAATCCCGTGGTGTGTGAACTATATCTCAATAAAGCTGTTAATTCAAAAAATGGGAGAGGGAATCAATAAAGCCTGATGAATGCCGGGGTATCTGGGTTTGATGGAAGTGAGTCCGTCAATCACTGTAATTTCCAGCTTGGCTGTCAGTGAAATAACAACAGTTGCTACTAACACTATTATTACTTGAAATCTGTGCTTTCATAATACCCCAAGAAATATATAGATACGATAATCGTCAGTGAAAATTCAGTAGTACGATTTTTTTGTCACTGGACACAGATATCCTAATATTCTAGCAATAGCTAAAATAATATTCAAAAATTTAACCTTCTAATAGCCTAAAAGCAAAATGGAGTGGCTTCTTCAGGGGATAAACTGATTCTTATTAGTAATAATAAGTGAAACATTAGTAAAACTGGATTTGTGTATCGGGCGCTGTGAGACTAGATATTAGAAATTAATTTTCAAAAGGTCATAAGTTTACCTGGGTGGAATTAAATATGCATCACTGACCATATCGAATTGGTGAAATATTTCAGGAGCCTTCAGAATCTTCATACTCTTGTCCTGATGACTTCTAGATAGAGGAAAACTTAGGTCATGTTTCTCAGCGTCTTCCAGATCCCGGATGAGAACCCATATCCCCCTGAGGGTGCTCTTCACCTGCTCTTACCAGGTTTTCAGACCACCCTAAACCCTTGGGTCACCACAATGCGGAGTCAGTGCTGTGACACATGGGGCAGTGTTTGGTCGGGCGTGTGTGCCACGTGTTGGTGTCAGTGTGTGCCTCACTGCGGTTAGTAGAGGTAACAGTCGCGGGAGAGAGGAGCTGAGAGAGGTCTATCTAGTGTAGCTACAGCTTCCTGTAGGTTATGGAAGGAGCAGACACGGAGAGTGGGAGCATATGCTGGCCTCGCTCAGAAAGCAGCCGTCGTACCTATCCTCTCTGTTAGGAAGAGATCCATCCTTAAAGAACAATAAATGTGACTTCATATTCACTTTTTGTATTTAATGCAAAATGATATATATTTAATACTGTAAAAAGGCAAAGACACAATACACAAAGTGGCAACCCAGCATCTCTGGCTTATTTCCTCCCCTGAGTTAACCATTGATTTCATCTCTTTTCCTGATAATCAGAATAAACATATAAGCAGTCATTAATGGTGCAGTCTTATTGGTGTGTGAGATGTTGAAGTCTTTGAAGCTCATGAATACTAGTTAGTGCAGAGTGGGATGATTGCCATGGGTTCCAAACTCATCGGTGTCCTCAGGACAGCAAGTAAAATGACAATAGGAAGGAGCCCACGGGCACAGGTGGGATCAGATAGCCGCCTGTGGACAGCCATGCCTTGTCAAGAGCATGGAGCCAGGGTCATCACCATGCTGAACATCAGGCTAATTTTGTAAATCCATTTGTTTTCTCAAACGTGGACAAAAATTGTTTTGTTGTCACTGTTGCTCTCAATGTGAAAACCCCCATTTTAAAAATTGGATCAATACAAACTGAAAATGGCCCTCCAACAGGGTACACCCTCTTTAAATTATTGCATTTACCAGCAGCAAGAGGAGCCCGTTCCTCTATATTTGCTGCGTGTTCATGGGAGAGAGAGTGGAGATGAAGTCATATTGATGCACCAGGGGAAAGCTGTGCTGCTGACTTAATTACACAGGCTCCAAGCCCATACCCTCCCTGCGTGTCTTACAGCCCTGCCACCTCCTACCCTGAACTCCGAGCCCGTACCTTCCCTGAGTGTCTTACAGCCCTGCCACCTCCTACCCTGAACTCCGAGCCCGTACCTTCCCTGAGTGTCTTACAGCCCTGCCACCTCCTACCCTGAACTTGGTCTCCTCAAGTGGGGCTCATCGTGCCCCAACACTGCAAAAACAGAGGTGCACAAGAGGAGCTTGGCCATCTTTGTTTGCAAGTTCCTGAGGATAAGCCGGTTCCTTCAGAGTAAGGTCATGTGCCTTTTCTCCCTTGAGCTGCTGGGAAATTATAATTAGAGGTTTTCCTGTTGTGTAAAGGAAAGGCACCCCTTCCCTTCCCACATCTGCAAGACTTGTGTTCTCAATGCTGTGCCTTCTTGTCCTTTTCTCTTTCCACAGGTGATAGAGGGAAAGCTGGCACCGTTCTTGGGCAAGGTCATTAAATTTGCCACCTCTCATGTCTACAGCTGCAGTCTTTGTAGCCAGAAAGGGTTCATCTGCGAGATCTGTAACAATGGCGAGATCCTCTATCCGTTTGAGGACATTTCGACAAGCAGGTACAGAATGTCTCTCTCGGTCTACAGAAGTATGTCCGAGTATCACGTGTGCTTTGGTCAGGGAGACACCCAGCTGCCATCAGATTCCTCTTGTGACTGGAGAACAGTCTGCTCCCTTCGCTCCTGTCTATTTCCAGTCCTTTCTCTCTGTCTTACACAGAGGGAGGGTAACAGAGTATGAAGGAACACTACCTTGCTCTGGCTCAGAAGGCAACGAACTGTGTTGTGTGTTCAGGTTTAGTCCTGGAATGTAGAGTGGAGAAGAAGACTTTCCAGAGCCAAACGATTAGAAATGGGGATTATTAGAGAGACTCTGTCTCAAGAAACAAATCAAAAAACAAAACACAAAAAAACAGCAACAACAGAAATGGGAAATGGTTTCCTCAAAGGAAGGCCAAGCTTAGATTGACTGCTAGAGCTGCAACTTAAGGCCTTGGCGAGGAGCACATTTTCCATAGACACCGCAAAGATGAAAGTTTTAGGCCTGAAGAGAGAGAAGTGGAAGTTCATGAGGCTTAGTTTTCTAACCAAAGTCATGTTTGGGCTTCAGCACATCCCTAGTGGATGGATGACTTCCCACTAACTTGGATCAATTTTTACTGTGACTTCTCTAGACTCACAAAATAATATGTAGCATTTTTCCTTTCATCCAAGAACATAATAGGAATACTCTCTGTGTGTGCACTGGCTTCTTGACCACCAATGTTATGGCTCGTTTCCTCCCTGCAGCGCTCTCCTACATTGCGGCTCAGGACAGGAGGTGAGGCTTATAGCCAGGCTGAGCACGTGGGGCAGAGCTGTCGTGATGACAGTTGACTCAGCCCTTTGGCCACGTCTTAAACCCAGAGACTATTTGTAAACATTCAAGAACTCAGATCAGCTCATACATAGAAGGATCTACACCTACACAAGTTTCCCGAGTATGGGCCCTTTGCTCATAGTTTGTAGATTAGATCCCTTTTTAGATACACACTCTTAAGATAAGAACTTATACACAAATGTTCACAGCAAAAGTACCTTTAATATTATAAAAAGGAAACAACCTAAATGCTTATCATCTGATGAAGAAACAAAATTTGATGTATGCTCTGGTGAACGACGATTTTACCTTTAAAAATTATGTCAAATTATTGCATGCCACAACATAGACAATCCACACTTCGTATGATTCCCTTTTTATGGGATGCCCCAAATAAGCAGATCCAAAGTAGACTTGTAGCTGCTTAGGGCTTCAGAGAGGGGTAAAGGCAGTGACTTTTAATGAACACAGGGGTTTTGATGATAGCAATATTGTAGGAGTAGATGGCAGTGATGGTCATATAATTTTGTGATTGCTAAAACTCATGAATCAGAGACCTTGGAGGCCAAACTTTATGGCACATGAGTGACATTGTGATAAAAATGAATAATAAAAATTAAGATGCTTCTAAATGAATAAGCCATATTCATTCAGTAAGCTTTAGGAAACTAAAAGAATACCATGTGTGTTCTCTAGCCCAGAGAATTAAAATTCACAGTAGGAAAAGGGCTGAGACCCATGAAATGTTAGAAAATAAGCAGTACACTTCTAAATTACTCCTGGGTTAAAGGAGCAATCACAAGGGAAATTTTTTGAAGTATTTTTTAGTGAATGAAAGTAAAATATGGACATGTGGAATGAAGCTAAAGTAATGTTAGGCCAGCAGGTTTGTTCAGCTTGTTGTCCATGGCCTGTGAACTGCTTGAGGCTGCATGAAGCCAAGGACAGCTATGAACGCCGCCCAGCACCACACCGTGAGCTTACTTAAAACACTATGAGATTTTTTTTCTTTGAATTTGACTGGTTCTTGAACATGGATTTTGCAGATGACAATGTTGTATCTCAATGTCAGAAGGTTAGATACATCTGGCTTAGTGAAACTTAGAGCTATTAACATCTATAGTTGAAAAAAGGGAAAAAAGATCTCAATCAATAGTCTAATTGTATACGTCAAGAAACTAAACAAATAAACAACCCCAAACAAGCAGAAAGAAAATATAGATTCAAATTCTTAAAGATTCAAATAGACTTACAATAAAATAGGAAATGATTAATTTTAAAGCCTCCCAAACAAAGGCCACATGATTTCACCTTTGAATATTCAAAAGATAATAATAGTACTTCACACAAGAACAAAGGAGCCAGCCTTCAAAACAAGGAATTGACTTTACACACACGTCCTTAGCACGTATGGTAGAAACAAATAGAAGTGCTGTGACAGAGATGCCGGTCCTCCAGAGGACAGCTCCAGCAGGAAGAGACTTGGGGCAAGCGTGTACTTAAACCAGACAGCACCGTTGGGCACAGGAGCTAACTGACATCTCCATACCTGCTCAGACAACAGAAGAAGGCATGTTCTGCCCAAGCACATGTGGGGCATTCACAAGAGACAACATTGTGAGGCATAAAACACACCTGAACAAATTCTACCTACTAGAAATCATTCAAAGTATATTCTCAGCTCGTGTATTGGGCTAGATATCGGTGATGGGGTGAGGGGATGGCCTAGTGGGTGAGAGTCCTTTCTATGTACGCCACCTGACTTTGAATTCCCCAGTACCCACATAAAAGCTGGGCCTGGCCATGCGTCCCTTTAACCCCAGTGCATGGGGTTGGAGGGGAGCCAAGATAGACAAATCCTGAGAACTGTCTAGCCCTACGAGCCGAAATGATAAGCCTCAGGTTCAATGAGAGGTCTGTCTCAAAACAATAAAATTGACAAAGACAGAGGAAAATAAGTGTCCATTGTTCTTCACTGGCCTCTGCATGCATGCATATACATACATGTACTCACATACACATGTGCACTATACCCCCACACACACAATTGAAATCATTAACAGAAAGATGTGAGAAGAATCCAAGAGCATCTGAAAATGAAACAAAAAGCTTTGAAATAACGTAAGTTGAATATATTTGTTCATATGAAAGCATGCACATGGATGTTTATAGAAACTTTAATTATCCAAAACTGTAAGCCACCATGAGGTGAATGGGTAAACAAACTGATATGTTCATACAGTGGCATTTTAGCTCCCGATAAAAGAAATAAGTGAACGGGTCACAAAATTCTATGACATTCTAGAAAATGAAAAGTTGTAGAGACAGTAAAAAGATCACTGGTTGTTGACTCTGGACTGGGGAACAGTCACAGGTAAAGAAGAATCTGTGACTCTGGACCTTCCAAAGGCGTCTGGAGTGTTAGAAGCTTTGTCCATGTGAGTGGTGATTCCAAGATCAAAGTGGCATATTTTAAACAAATTTTATTAGAATAGAAAACTTGCAAAGAAGTGAATAGTTTCCACACACTGCATTCACCCCATCCCTCTCCAGCTTCCCCACTAACATAAGTGCTGTATCTGTTGGAGTTAGTAAGTCAGTGATTCATTGTTAGCTAGAAACTGTTGGTTGTTTTGTTTTTTTCACAGTTTCTTAGTTTTTACTGAATTTGTTTTCTATCCTAAGATAGTACATTATATTCCATTTTCATATCTACCTAGACTGAGCTATGACAGTGTCAAAGATTTTACTTGTTTTGATAATCTTGACAGTTTTGAAGGATACTGTTGGGTATATATGTCTGTTTTGGATTTTTGTTGTTGTTGTTTTAAGATTAGACTAAGGGCAGACATGGTTGGGCATACCTGTGATCTCAGAAACTTGGGAGGCAAGGCAGGGGATTACCACAAGTTCAAGGCATTGTAGCCCTGAGCTACATAACTAATTCCAAATAGCCTGGGCAACATACAGCAAGAACCAATTTCTGAACCCAGCAGTGACAAAATTAGACTCGGCTTTATACATTGTGGGTGGGGGTGGGGAAGACTGTGGAAATAAAGTACCATTTTCATCACAGTGATAAGCATACCACCATCATGGTATGATGCAGGCTCTGTGCCAGGTTTCTCTTCTGAGAAGTTACTCTTCTTCCTCTCCTACCATCCTCTCTGAAAGGAAGCGCATGAATTCTCAGTAGTTTCACTGTCCTAGGAGCAGAACATGCCCAAAACTATTTGAAATCCTTCTTGGGAGATTTGTCTTTTTTCCCGTTTATTTATTCCTCCACTTGTGTGCTCTTCTCATCAGTGTGAATTCATGAGTAGCTGTTTGTTCCTTTGGTTGTACTGTGTTGTTTACTGTTCAAGCATTTGTAGCTCGCATTCAAACTCTGCATTGGCTCCAGTGTCGCTTTGCAATAGCTCAGCCACTGTGGGTTTTGTTTGTTTGCTGTTGAGCATTTTCTTCCTCTCTGACTGCACGAGATGATCCAGACTCATGCTTCACTGCTCTCACCCTCATCCAAGCCATGGCCGCATGCCCAAGGAACCCTTCTCCTTTCACTGAGAGTGAACGTAGAGGCCAGGATCTGAGCATGAGGCATTGCACACTTTTAAATGCCACAAGTCCCTAGACTTGTCCTCTTGACAAGGATTGCACAGAGAATCTTCTGGAAGATTTAGTGTAAGTCCTAAAATGTATACCTTCAAGGATATTATATGAAGGAATATATTCAGAGATAGTATGACTGTCAAGGCTCTGAATTCTCACCAAAATGGCCTCCTTACCCCATGTGAAAGGCCTTTATCCAGTGGGACCGAATCTGTAGCTCTTTAGAATCCTCTCTCTTTGCTAGTCCCAGCCTGCAGTGTGTGTGATTCAGAAGGGACCTTGACTGTCTTTCCTGGAATCTAGGTTGGTCCTGTTCTCAGGAACCCATTGCACTTCCTCTTGTGCTCCACCTCCAGTTAAACCCTGAAAGCAGTTTACACAAGTCTATAGGAAAAGACAAAAGAAACAGTCATATTTACCAAGGAAAACATTGAGTCAGAAGTACATGCCAGAAATAAATTAAACAATTTGAATAATGAGGTCAATATGATACTGAAATTTTTATGAATGAAAGAATGTGCTATATGAGATTTGTCTCAAAATAATAACACATGGCGTAAAGGGGTAGACAGGAATGGAAGTGAGTGTCGTG